CCTGGTCCCAGAAGGTGATGACCTCTAACACCTTTTGAAGCAAGAGTTTCTGGAATGTAAATTGCACCCTCCTGCTGTGACCGCACACCAGTGCTTTTGCTAGTGTGTGTTTAGTGCTTGAAATGAAAACAGGTCAGAACGTGCTGTAGGATCCCGTGGATATCACATGTCCAGTGTAGGCCAGTGCATTGGGACGAAGAGCAAATTGGCGGTTGCCAGGGGCTGGGGCGAGGGACTGGGAAGAATCTCCTAATGCGCACGGGCTTCTTTTGGGGCAATGACATGTCCTGGCATTAGGTACTGGTGACGGTTGCACAGCGCTGGGTATACTGAAAACCACTGAGCTGTGCGCTGCAAATGGTGAGGTGTATGGAATGTGAGTTATGGCTCATAGGATCAAAGGAAATGGATCGAGGTGTTCAGCCTTATTCCTTTATATTTAATATATATTTTTATTGACTTCAGAGAGGAAGGGAGAGGGACAGAGAGATAGAAACACATCCCACACTGGGGATCATCCTGCAACCCAGGCATGACCTCCTGGTTCATAGGTCAACAGTCGACCACTGAGCCACACTGGCTGGGCCCAGCCTTATTCTTGAATTGCCCAGACCTTGCTGAGAGGAGGCGGACCAGGAAGGCCCCTCACAGACCCTGTCCCCACAAGAACCGTGCAGGGATCCATTTGTGTTGGTGCCGGGCCTGCCCACAGGCAGACAGCCTGGGCAGAAAGTCTGTGTCTAGGGAGCCGCTTTCCTGCAAGTTAGAGGAAGGCGAGGAGATCTCGGTGGGCAGTCGGGCAGGAACCCAGCCTTGCTCCAAGGGCACCAGGGGCCCTGGGCTGTTTTTAAGCAGGACTTGATGGCAGGGGTCTCTCTGGCAGCAGAAGGGCCTTGGGCTGCTGATGCGATGAAGTCAAGGTCTCTGAGTGGTACCCCGGAGTCTCAGGAGGTTCCACCTGGTGTTTGCATGGAGGATGCTGCAGATAGCACCTGAACGAGGTGTAGCTGCAGGTGCTGCCACCACTCCCATCCCGCCCAGTGGAGTTCAGGGCTGAGTAGGGATGGGAGCCCCAGCTCCTACATGTGGGCGACGCCTCCAGAAAGTTCCATGGAGGTAACAGGTGTGTCCAGGGCATACCTGGATCTCTCTCTGCCCAGGTGCATTTAGACAGTGGGCAGGTGCTGTCTAGATGCACCTGGTGTCTCCCTCCCCAGGGCATCTGTTCTCCCCAGCAGATCCTGACAACACATGGCTTGCTTTGCTCCTGTGTGTTTTCTGTGCTCTGTCCTAAGTGCTTCTAAAGGAGACAGGGTGAATGCTAAACAGTTTTGGGGACCCAGTTACAATAGCATTGAAGGCCAGACTTGGCCTTGTAATTCAGCCCCAAGCTGTAGCCCAATATATATGTGTTAATCACCACAAAACTGTAACTCATCCAGTGAGTCAGCTGCCTAATTTTGCACAGATTAATAACCATTCCAGGTAAGTGGCTGTTGGCAAATTAACTGCACCAGAGAATAAAAACCTGTTGTGTAATCGAATAAATCTTTTCCATGTTCTCAAAAATTTCTTGTTATTCTTTGCCGTCTTAAGATTGTATATGAATTGTCTTCATAAGCAATAAAATTTTTATTTTTGTAGCCATGCCTTCAATTTGTGTAAAATTGTATAGAATGTCTTGAAAACGTCATCAAATAGGAGTTACTATTCTCAGAAAGAGGGAGGGTTGTAGAAAGTCAATTTTGTTTTTACTTTGCTTTGGTTCTGGTAGCAATCGTGAAACCAAGCTTACGATTTAAATGGAGAAGCAATAGCCCTGGCTACGTGTGTGTAAGTTTGTATGTGTGCATCTGTTTGTGAATGCGTATGTGTGCATGTATATTATGCACGTGAATGTGTGCATCTGTGGGTGTGCATGTATATGTGTGTAATGTGTGTGTGTGTGTGTGTACAAGTGTGCACATGTCCTCTGCAGATGTGAATGTTCTCCCTTGGTTAGAATTTGCTCCACTAGATCAGCCCTGCAGCCACACTGTCCCTGAGGACTGAGTTGACCATGGTGTTGACACCTCACCCCGTGGTCTCCTCACCTACAGCTGGCCAGCCACCTCAGATGAGGCTGCAGCCGCAGCCCAGCCCATGGCAGGTTATTGTGCGCAGGCGCAGGCCAGTGAATTCTTCACATCTCTCTCCGGCTAACAAGTCGGCTCCAGCGTGGAGTGGGCTGCCCGGGCAGGCAATGGAGCAATTGTACCGCAGTAGGACGGTGCAAAGGCCATCTGTCTAATAAAATGGAAAGGCTTCCCACCAGTGGCTCCATAGTCAGGTGCACAAGATCCGAAATGCTGGGTGGAGCAAGAAGAGGAACATGGGTAGCCTGGACCTCAGGTCGTTCAGTGGCTGCTCCTCATGTGAGGTACAGCCCTTGGGTTTCAAAATCAAACAGAAAACTGACGACGTTCTTTTTTGAGTCTTCCTTCACCGAAATGCACTTGTACTTGGTGAGCTTTGAGATATCTGTATGTCTGCCGGGATAGGAAGTTTGCAAACTTTTTGAAGTTTTTGTGATTGATTTATTTTAGGGAGAGAGATACAGCAGTTTGTTGTTCCACTCATTTATGCAGTCATTGCTTGATTCTTGTGTGTGCCCTGACCGGGGATTGAACCCCTAACCTTGGTGTGTTGGGATGATGCTGTAACCAACTCAGCTACCTGGCCAGGGCCCAAACTTTAAAATTACACAGATTTCTTTTAAATATTAAGAAAATAGTGAAACATGGCTACACAGACATGGCTGTCCCTTGAAGCACACCATGTCTCGAGACAGACGGTGTGCATTGCATGAGTGCCTGTGGATGAGTTCCCACACTCCAAGCAGCAGCTCCTCCTGGGACTCAGTTGGCCGTTTTCCAGGTCACTATCGTCCCGAGGCCTGCACCTGTCTGCCCTCGGCTCCATGCTGCTGCCAGGCAGGCTGCGGCCAGACCGGGGTCCAGAGTTACATTTCTTTCTGAATGATGTCGTCCCTGTCTGCTCGTGATCCTTCCCGTGGCTGTTAGACATTAGCCTGGACCTACTTATGGAGAATAGATAACTCTTTTTATTCCTCTGTCCAACTTGGAGTCAACATAACGTATAGGGTGGGACAAAAGTAAGCTACAGTTCCTATGGAAAATCATACAATCCTATCTAATAAAAGAGAAACATGGTAATTAGCCGCTGGCCCGCTACCCTTCCCATTGGCTAATCAGGGCGATATGCAAATTAACTGCCAGCCAAGATGGCGGCCGGCAGCCAGGCAGCTTGAAGCGAACATGAGGGTTGCTTGCTTCAGTGATGGAGGAAACCAACGTTCCCCGCCTGCCTTGCCGGCCTCTGAGCTTGCAGTTTGAAACATTGTTACAAATATAGAAGCTTAAAAAAACCCCAGAAACCTGCTTTCAGCCAGCTGGGATCTCAGAGCTGGAGTTGATACAGTGTTTCGATTATAGAACCCAAACAAACCAGATACCTGCTTTCAGCAGCAGAGGCCTCAGAGCTGGAGCCAGAGCTAAAGCTGGCCCAGAATAAAAAAAAAAAGAAAAAAAGGAGCAGTTGGGAGCTTCCGTCACCTGCCAGCCTGAAAACAGCCCTCAGCCCCTCACCCAGGCTGGCCAGGCACCCCAGTGGGGACCCCCACCCTGAAGGGTGTGTGACCAGCTGCAAACAGCCATCATCCCCTCATCCAGGCTGGCCAGGCATCCCAGTGGGGACCCCCACCCTGATCCAGGACACCCTTCAGGGCAAACCAGCCGGCCCCCACCCGTGCACCAGGCCTCTATCCTATATAGTAAAAGGTTAATATGCCTCCCAGCACCGGGATCAGCGTGACAGGGGGCAGCGCCCAAACCCCCTGACCACCCTGCGGCTCTGTGTGTGACAGGGGGCGGGGCCACAACCCTCTGATTGGCCCTGCTCTGTGTGTGACAGGGTGCAGTGCCCCAACCCCCCACTCCCACCCCCACCCACGGGCCCTGCTCTGTGTGTGATGGGGTAGAGCCATAACCTCCCCATCGGCCCTGCCCTGAGTGTGACAGTGGCGGCGCCCCAACCCCCTGATCCGCCCTGCTCTGTGTGTGACGGGGGGCGGTGTGCCAACTCCCCTATTGGCCCTACTCTCTGAGTGGCAGGGGGGAGCTCCTCAACCCCCTGATGGGCCCTACCCTGTGCGTGACAGGGGGGAGCTCCCCAACCCCCTGATGGGCCCTGCTCTGTGCGTGACAGGGTACGGAGCCCCAACCCCCCTGATGGGCCCTGCTCTGTGCGTGACAGGGTACGGAGCCCCAACCCCCCTGATCGGCCCTGCTCTGTGAGTGCCGGGGCAGCGCCCCAACCCACTGATTGGCCCTGCTCTGTGCATGACAGGGGGTGGCGCTGCAACCTCCCCATCGACCCTGCCTTGAGTGTGACAGGGGGCGGTGCCCCAATCCCCCAATCGGCCCTACCCTGAGCGTGACTGAGGGTGGCATCGCAACCTTCCGATCCGCCCTGCTCTGTGCATGACAGGGGGCGGTGCCCCAACTCCCCAATCAGCCCTGCTCTGAGCCCGACCAGGGGCTGCACCTAGGGATTGGGCCTGCCCTCTGCCACCCAGGAGCAAGCCTAAGCCAGCAGGTCGTTATCTCCCGAAGGGTCCCAGACTGCGAGAGGGCACAGGCCGGGCTGAGGGACCCCCCTCCCCCGCCCCCCCCCCATCGCACAAATTTTTGTGCACCAAGCCTCTATTATTAAATAATCATAAGAGAATAAAGTTTTGCATATTCACTACTGGAAACCTACTTTTGCCCCTCCTTGTACTTAGCAAATAAACATGACACATTTGCTAAGTAACACAAGCCGTGGTTTAGCTGTACTTCTCAGAGGTGATCTTATGCAGAAAGGCTGAGTGTGAAAGCGAAATGCCCAGGGATACTGTTCTCCTGCGTTGCTCACCACGTGGCTTCTGTTTCCTCCCACAGAAAGTCATTCGGAACCAGTGGAGACAACAGAAGTAGACGGGGACGTCGAGGTCCCACCCAACAAAGCCAGGGTCCTGCGGGGCCATGAGTCCGAGGTCTTCATCTGTGCCTGGAGCCCCGTCAGCGACCTCCTGGCCTCTGGGTAAGGGCGCCCTCCTGGAGGTGCTCCAGGGCCAGGGTCCGAGCTGCTGGCTGTGCACTGCAATCCCGCCTCATGGAGCTCACTCCCTCTCACCTGCCTGGGGCACCTTCCCAAGTGTGCAGACTGAGGCCTGGGCACCCGTGCTGCCCTCGCTTGGGTACCTCCAATTGTGGTCAAATTGTAGAGAAGTCCTCGTGCCATTTTTTTCCCCCTGGGGTGGGGACTAATGCTGGCATTTAAAATTAGTGCAGCAAAGATAATGCGGAGAGAACCCAGTGAGAAAAGAGAAAGCAGTTCGCATGCATGGCTTTGGATTTATGCCAGGCCTGTCCCCCGGGTCTCTCCTGGTGCCCATGCCAGAGCAGACTGGCCTGGAACCGTCGCCTGCCTCTGCTCCTCTGCTGTGGGCGCTGAAGCGGGTTGCAAGGTGGGAAAAAGGAGAAAACCCGTCAGCGAGCTGAAAGCTGACTGCAGCGCCTTTCCTTCTGCAGGTCCACAGATTCGACTGCGCGGATCTGGAACCTGAACGGAAGCAGCAATGGAGCGTCCACCCAGCTCGTGCTGCGGCACTGTATCCGAGAAAGGGGGCAGGACGTGCCCAGTAACAGAGACGTGACCTCGCTGGACTGGAACGTAAGCACCAAGTGCCTCCCAGAGGCTTGCACATCAGGGCTGCCGCGTGGGGCCCAGGGGTGCTGGTGCCAGGTTGTGTCGGGCAGATGGCTAGCTGCGTCCTCAGTGACCACTCACTCCCAGCACTAGCCCACGTCTTCGAGCAGCCAAGGAAACGTGACTGTCCATCTTGGTATTTCTTTTAAACAATTCTTTTTAATCCTCACCTGAGGATATTTATTGATTTTAGAGAGAGAGGAAGGGAGAGAGAGGGGGAGAAATATTGATGTGAGAGAGAAACACCGATTGGTTGCTGATGGGGACAACCTGGGCGTGTGCCCTGACTGGGAATTGGACCCACAACCTTTTGGTGTAGAAGACGATGCTCCCACCAACTGAGCCACACTGGCCAGGGCTCCGCCTTGGTATTTCAATTGACAGGTGGGACACAGCTCTCTACACCTTCCCTTGCCATTCTCTCTGGCTCTTTGAAGTGTTTATGCAAACTCTGTCATTTTGTCACAAACTCTGTCCTTTCCTACACGATGTTCAAGGCTCACTAAAGTCTCCAACGTGTCATATCTGTTGGCCTGGTATTTGTTGTTGTTAATCCTCACCTGAGGCTATTTTCCCATCGATTTTTTGGAGAGATTGGAGGGGAAGGAGGGAGAGAAAAACATCGATGTGAGAGAGACACATTCATTGGTTGCCCTCTGAACGCCTCCTGACCGGGTCTGGGCATCAAACCTGCAACCCAGGTACGTGTCCTTGACCGGGAATCGAACCTGAGACCTTTTGGTGCTCAGGCCGATGCTCTAACCCCTGAGAAACACCAGCCAGGGCTTTTATATGGTCTTTTTAATTATGTCATTGGGTGAATGGTTGCAACAGATTTTACTTGCCCCTCTTCTCCTCAGCTGTAACACCTTACCTCACCGGTTCTCAACCTGTGGGTCGAACAACCCTTTGGTGGTCGAACAATCCTTTCACAGGGGTCGCCTAAGACCATCCTGCATATCAGATATTTACATTACGATTCATAACAGTAGCAACATTACAGTTATGAAGTAGCAACGAAAATAATTTTATGGTTGGGTCACAACATGAGGAACTGTATTTAAAGGGCCAGACGGTTGAGAAGCACTGCCTTACATATTCATTTAAGACAGTGGTTCTCAACCTTCCTAATGACGCGAACCTTTAATACAGTTCCTCATGTTGTGGTGACCCCCAATTTCATTGTTACAAATTGAACATAATTAAAGCATAGTGATTAATCACAAAAACAATATGTAATTATATATGTGTTTTCCGATGGTCTTAGGCGACCCCTGTGAAAGGGTCGTTCGGCCCCCAAAGGGGTCGCGACCCACAGGTTGAGAATCGCCGATTTATGAGGTGTGTGAGATGAGTAGTTAAATGGGGCTGGTGAGTCTCTTAACTGGGGACTGATTTTTTAAAAAATATATTTTTATTGACTTCAGAGAGGAAGGGAGAGGGAGAGAGAGAAACATCAATAATGAGAGAGAGTCATTGATCGGCTGCCTCTTGCACGCCCCCTACTGAGGATTGAGTCCTCAACCCAGGCATGCGCCCTGACTGGAAATCGAACCATGACCTCCGGGTTCATAGGTCAACACTCAACCCCTGAGCCACACCGGCCGGGCTAGGGACCGATTATTGATGCCAGAATGACCTAGCCCTGGGGTGAGAGGTTTTCTTCGCTTCGTCAGAACTGCCACTGCTAAGCTGTTTCTTTCTGGCCCACAGAGCGATGGGACGCTGTTAGCAACAGGTTCCTACGATGGTTTTGCAAGAATCTGGATGGAAGACGGTGAGTCCTGCCGCCCTCGGGTTGGGGTTGGGGGAGAGCTGCTTTGGTGTGGAGTCACTTCGTGACTGGGCTGTGGCCTTGAAGTCAGCGTGTTTGCTGTTTGTTTACTTACACACAGGTAATCTGGCCAGAACCTTAGGCCAACGCAGAGGCCCCATCTTTGCCTTGAAATGGAACAAAAAGGGGAATTACATTGTGAGCGCTGGTGTGGACAAAGTGAGTACTCTCTTACAATGCATCTCTGAACTGTAGATGCTTATTGGTGTTGAGTCTCCAGGTAGCATCATGGTCTCTGTGAATCCTGAGGCTTTCTGCTTCCCCTGAAGACATCAAGGCAGCTTGTGTGGTGCTTGTTGGTTTTCCTGGCTGTGACCTTGATGTTCATTGATAGCCCGTCATCTCTTTTATTTAAAATATTTTTAAAAAGTTTTTATTGGTGTAAGAGAGGAAGGGTGAGGAGAGATAGAAACATCAATAATGAAAGAGAATCATCGATTGACTGCCTCCTGCACAACCCCTACTGGGGATTGAGCCCGCAACTCAGACATGTGCCCTGACCGGGAATCAAATCGTAACCTCCTGGTTCAAGGTTGACATTCAACCACTGAGCCATGCTGGCCGGCCGCCTGTCATGTCTTTGTCACACGCTCCACAGATGTTTGTGCAAAACATCCCCATTCAATTGAGGTGCACAGTTCAGTGACAGCCTCAAAGCCCAAAATATTGACCATCTGGCCCTTGGCAAAAATAACTTTGCTGAACTCCACACTCGAGTATGACCCTCTAGGTCACTGAATTGTGCATTCTCTGTGTGTGTCTGTCTGTCTGTGTCTCTCTCTCTCTGTCTCTCTGTCTCTCTGTCTCTCTCTCTCTCTTAAGCCAGTAAACCCTTTGTTCCAACTTGGCATCCTCATATCCTATATAATAAAAGCCTAATATGCTAAGTGTCCGGTCAGCCGGTTGGCCGTTGAACCAATCAAAGCGTAATATGCTAATGATATGCTAAGGCTGCCCAACTACTCGCTATGACATGCACTGACCACCACGGTCCCTCCCCGGCTGGCCAATCTCCTGCATCCCTCCCTGGCCCCGATCATGCACCAGTGGGGAACCTCGGCCTGGCCTGCGCCCTCTCTCAATCCAGGCTGAGGGACCCCCTCCAGAGTGCACGAATTTCATGCACCAGGCCTCTGGTCTAATATAAAAAGCTGAAATGCTATGGTTGGCACACCACATAGAGGCTCTCTGGAAACTACCATCGAATTTTTGCTGAGGGGCCCTAATTCAGATGTTACCTACATACCACTGTGTCTTGTATGTGGCTGGTCATTACTGTTGGCCCATTTGGTGCTCCAGGATGGGAGATGGGCACACAGAGCATGGACCTCAGGCCTCAGAGAGCCTTGTGGACTTGCCTAGGGGTGAACTGGTGTGGAGTGGACATAGGTTGGAAGGCAAGCCCTGGGTCCAGACAGTAGTTTCTGCCCTTTCACGGAATTCTAGCCAGTGCTTTGCATCCTCACCTCCTTACCGACTCAGGGCTACTTTTTTTGTATTCATTTCTGATTTTCTACCTGATGATCAGTGTTCACTACCAGGAGATAAGCTATTTGTTTTGTTTGTTTGTTTGTTTTTACAAGCACTTTTAATAATACACAATTTGGGATCAAATTTAGATAATGATTTAGTTATCAAATCTAAGCATAGCTTTAGGGATTCCAAATGATGAAGTAACACTATAGTAGATCAAAATGCTCAAAAGGGTTTATTTGAATATTCTAAAGATTTCTGATGTTGTATTGTGATGAGCTATTTGGTCAGTGAAAGTGCACATTTGAAATTCTGTCAGTCTTTGGGCCATGCGCCGTCTGCCTTTATTGGCCAGCCACGGCGGAGATAATAATGTTCAGAAAGCAATACCCAAGGAGGAAGTGTAATTTCTGAGAATGCTAGCATTGACCTTCAGTGGAAGCTTAACCCGAAGGGGCTATTTCAGAGCCTTAACAGTACTTGCTGTTTTAGAAAATAAATTTCTTTTTTGCCCAGGGTATTTTAATGTAGACATCAACTCCAAAATGACTGATGTAGTGTGCGAAATGGCATCAGATTTGCGAGTTTATGTATTCTCTGCAGCACCTGATTTGTTTGTGAGTGAAAGTGTTAGGCCCACCAAATAAATGAATAAAAGGTGTTCACTGATCTAGAGCTGATCCAAAATGTGGAGAGTCAGGTTTCAGAGGCACTCACTGCTCTGAGTATTTCCTCTGAACATTTCTACAATCCACACTACTTATAATTGGTTCTACTTTCAACAAGAGCTTTATTGTCAGTGACAGGGAGGTGCACTGGTTCCAATTGAGTGAGTTGATGAAGACATAATCCCAGTGGTGTCCCTGAGCTGCCTCCAGTGCTTCCCTGTCTTCCCAGCATCAGGAGGTTCATAAGGATTCCTGTTTGTTTTCCAGGGAAACGGTCTTTCTCCCCTTACAGGCCAGCATGGCTCTGCTCTGCCTACTATCCCCAGTTCAGGGCGTGACCAATGCACAGGACAATTTTCGGAAATGCCCATTTCTTCTTCAGCTCCTCATTCGGAAAAGTGCCAGAAAGATACTTAGATAAGCTTTATTATGAGTTTTCAACTTGTGATGGGAGAGAGGGGATCCCCACCAATTTTTGTAGTTTCCTAATTATCAGTTGTGGCTGCTGCGTTTTGTGGAGTTGCCAACAACACACATGGCTCTCGAGATTGTTACGTATAAAGCACTGGGCTCCACAGACCTAGGCAAAAAGGACTGCCAACGATCTCACTAACAGATACATACTGAACGCATGTTGAAACAATATTTCGGCAATACTGGAGTGAAATAAAACGTGTTGTTAAAAAGTTTTATGGCCGCAGCAACCTTGGTTCATATTTGAGTCACGGCCCTAAAAAAGAAAAAAAGGAAAGGTAGTTTTAACAGTTTTTTTCTTTTTTTAGAACGCTTTCTACAAAACAAAATTCCCCGTGTGGCTCACATTCTGTGTTTACTGGGCAGGGCTGGCGTGAAAGGAGGCGGGGCTCACTGCCTCATCTTGTGTGATAAATTTTCCGAGAGAAAACTTGGCCAGAGGAACAATCACTAATGTTTCCTTTTTGTTTGCGGAGTACAGACAGCAATAATTTGGGATGCCCACACAGGAGAAGCCAAACAGCAGTTTCTGTTTCATTCTGGTGAGTCTTCTGTTTTTGTTTTGTGATCTATATATATAAAAGGCTAATGTGCTAAGTGTCCTTCCCCATCCGGGTAATGACGTCACATAGCAACGCCCGGCTTCCTCTCCCTAGCAACGACTGGCCTCCTTGCAGTTTCTTCAGCCCAGGAACAGGACTTGCTTTATAGCCAGGTGGAAACACTTTACACTGTAACCAAATGTCTGTGAAGCATTTTCCCGTGCCTCATCCCATTTGATCCTCATAGAAGTCCTGGAGTAGGTAGATAGGAGACCCGGTGGAATCCTATTTTCTTTTCATTAGCCAGAAAATGGAGATTTAGAAAGCTTAGAAACTTGACCCGACTGAAAAGAAGTAAGAAATGGGGAACCTTGAAAATGACTTCAGGTTTCTCACTGTGCAGAATGTAGTCAAAAACACTGCTGCAGTTAAATATTTACCCTTTGTTCTCCCTGTGTGATCTACAATAATAATGTGCTTCGTGTTGATATTTACTGCTGTGTTGCTGACAATAACCTGAAAGAGAAGTGGGGGTGCTTCATTGGGCTGGAAAAAGTTTAGCTGCATCAGAAAGCAGGTCTAATTAAGCAAGTTTGTTCTATATCTATAAAAGGCTAAGTTGACTCGTGCATGCAGGATACATATAATGCTCTCACTGGCACCAATCGCACACGTGTGTTTCCACTTCTATTATAGAGAAAGGGCGAATAGTGATATTAAAATATTTCTTCTAATTAATTTCCTTTCAATGTGCATGAATTCGTGCACCAGGCCACTAGTTTGGAAACAATAGCACAGAGTCCCTGTGAAATGTCCCGGGAGGTAATCTTGAATACTCTGAGGAATGTGTCCATGGAATTTAGCTGTAATCATGGTGAGCATTGTTCTTAGGCTTATAAGGTACAGATTCCCCAACATCAAAATGTTAAAAACACCACAGGGAACCAATACCTGGACCAGAGTGGCCTCCTTTCTCCTGCCAGTCCAGGGGGGCTCTGTTGGGAGTCCCTGAGACCCCCCAGATCCGGCAAGTCACGGCTCAGGTTTATCACAGTGAAAGGACACAGCGAAATTGGCCACAAGGGAAAAGGTCACAGGGCGAAATGCAGCACTTGCGGTGGTCTTCTGTGGACCAAGGGCGGGCCCCGTCCCCAGAATCCAGGTGCGACCGGCCACGCGGCAGGGCCTCCTCCAGGGAAGCTCCCTGCAGACTCGGTGTGCAGGATGTTCACTGGGGGCTGGTCCTGCGGGCACTGCCTGCCTGCTCGTACCCAGATGGCAGACTCCTGGAAGGAAGCTGGCATAAACTACGTTGTTTGCAGTTTGGGCACAAAAGCTGCTCTCATCAGTTTATGGAATAGTGGGAACCTTCCAGAAATCCAGGTCCCCAGACGTGGGCCAAGAGAGCAGTGTCAGCCCTGAGGTGGGCAGTCTTTCCCATAGAGCCTTGCAGCCACCGCTGTGGCCTAACCACATCTGTTTTGTGTTGTGGCCACAGCAGGCCACGTGGGGCAGCCCGGGGTCCAGAGAGTCCAGGTTTCCACCTGATCCCTCTTGCTCTGTGGGACTCAATTCTTCCGTGAGGGGCAGCCTCTTAACTTAAAACAAAGATAGCTGCGCACCTCCAGCAGGAGTGGCCTGTCTGGGGACACCAGCGTGAGGGACAGGTGCCCCGTCATGGGCAATGTCTTCCTTGAAGAGGGACACTGAATGTGTGGGCTGAGCGTGCACTGTTGTGTCATGTGTCCCTGAGCGGATGTTGACAAGGGGGCAGAGTGTCTTTCCTGATAGGTAGTTTGGGGTGCCCGGTGATGGCTAAACGGGAGGGCTGAGCCCAAGGACTGCCCCAGATGGCCCGGCACATCTCGGTGTGTGGCGCGGGCTCCAGCAGGGGGCGTGGGTCCTGGAGGGGTGGACTAGGAGGGAAGGTCCCAGCAGGGGCGTGTCACCACGGTGTCAGAGCACAGACACAACGTCTGCTACTCAGTCCAGAACACCAGCAGCGATGGAGGCAGTCACAGAGTGAAGAGACGCGGGATGCCTTGGGTGCCTGTCCTCATAGTTTTCAGGCCACACCACATACATCTTTTATAGCCACTGGTGAGTTTTATCGTTGGTGTTGCTTTCATCTCACACCACTGATGGCGCGGACGGTGCTGAATGTGTTACAGAATGTGTCTCCCCACCAGTAAGTGGGCACCTCTCCAAAGGCAGACAGCTCGGGAGCCCAGCCTACGTGTGTTAGAATGCATGTAACGTGATATTTACCGTTAGGACATAGGATCCACACATCCTCCCTCTGTTCCCGCCCACAGCCCCCGTTCTCGATGTGGACTGGCAGAACAACACGACCTTTGCCTCCTGTAGCACAGACAAGTGCATTCACGTCTGCAGACTCGGCTGCGACCGCCCCGTCAGAACCTTCCAAGGACACACAGTAAGTGCCAGGCCTGACGACGGGACTCGCGTCCACGGGAACGTGCTGGGCGGTGGGCGCCGTCTCCTTTGTGCCTCGGGTTAAAAGATGCTGTGACGGCCGACTTACCCCTTGAATTTTTAAAGGACAGGGACATGTTTGCAGCGTTATTTCCTAGACCCTATTAAAATACCGCTGACATTTCTTTAAGCAGTTTTGTCAACTGCTTTTTGAATTTATTTTTTCCTCCTTCTCTCTCATACTCAAATCTCTGATACCACCATGGCTCTCACCTCACTGTGTTCTTGGGGGTGGGGTTAATAAAAAAGATGCTGTGCCTGCAGCCCTGTGCTGCTTGGGCTGTTGTAGTATCTCAGGTGGTTGCATTAACCCAGGTATGGCCAGGCCGTGGAGAAAACACAGACCCTGAGATGAACCAGATGTTGGATTTTGAAGGAAGTACTTAAAATAGCTATTAGACAAATGTGTGAGGACATAAAGGAAAGGGTGCTCGTCATGAGTGAATAGATGGGGAATGTCAGCAGAGAAAAGAAAACTATTATTTTTAAAAAAGCAGTGAAATGGAAATCTGACAGCTGAGAGGTTCAGTGTCTGAAATGAAATTTTAATATGTGGGTTTAACAGCCGATTGAGGTTGCAGAAATAAGGCTAATGAACCTGAAGAGAAATAAAAATAGCCAGTTTTCTTGAATTTGATGGAAAATGTCGACATTGGTTTTTAGAGAGAGTGAAGGGAGGGAGGGAGCAAAAGAGAGAGAAACATTGATGTGAGAGAGACACATCCATTGGTTGCCTCCTGCATGCACCTCGACCAGGACTGGGAATCAACCTGCAACCCAGGTGTGTGCCCTGACTGGGAATCGAACCGGACACCCTTCGGTGCACAAGCTGGTGCTATAACCACTAGGAAACACTGGCCAGGGTGAAAGTGATCTTCAATGTCAATCTCAAAACAACTGGTCGTATTGGTTTTCTGTGCTGTGCTTATTGGATGTAAATGCAGTTGCGATTTTTTTCTTAGCGTTGTGGATGTGGGTGACGGCTTTGCATGGTATGTGGCCTTGCTTTTTACATAAATGAAAGGCAGAGTAAGAAACAGAGGGAAATGTGTGGGTCCTGGACTGGTCTTCCATACCCAGGGTAACTGAATAGTCTGCAGAGATGATGGAGTGCCCCCCTACCCCACCCCGCTGGACGGTTGTGGTACCTACTCACAGGCCTTTATTTCTTGGTAAAATCCTTTGCTCTCTTTCAGAATGAGGTTAATGCCATCAAGTGGAATCCCTCTAGAATGTTGTTGGCGTCCTGCTCGGATGACAGTACATTAAAGGTAACGTGGAAGGATGGGCTGTTTGATCCCAGGCAGCCCCTCAACTGAGTGCGGGTCTTATGGTCACGGCTGCTCTGGGTGATGATTTTGTAACGAACACTCTTCCCGCTGCTAGAAGTTTGCCCCATTGCTCCTGCTGCTGCTGGTGCCCCCAGGATTCTCCCACCCCTCTGTCTGGGCAGCGACCCCCCTCAGTGAGCTTCCCCAGGGCCCCAAACCTGAGGCACGCTCACAGAGTGACGGTGCTGAGCCGTTCCTGGCTGGAGAAAGAGCACCTGCTCACATTCTGCCCGATGTGTTCTCTAGATCTGGAGCATGAAGCAGGACACATGCGTCCATGACCTGCAGGCTCACAGCAAAGAGGTCTACACCATAAAGTGGAGTCCGACCGGGCCCGCCACCAGCAACCCGAACGCCAACATCATGCTCGCAAGGTAAGAGGGGGACGGCCCACAACCCAGTCCCACGCGGCTCCCAAAAGCAACCTTGCTCCCCGTGGCTGTAACAGTTATTATATCAGAGGGAACAGAAAAGTTATTTTGTAAAAGTTGTGGCCAGTAGATGTTACTTGAACCCGCAGGGAATAGGAATGTGGCCAGTAAACGTTATTTGCTAAAGTGTGTTGTGAATGAGTTCCCGTCCTTCCAAACTGTACAAAGAGTAGCTCCCCTGGACAGGGCCCACGAAACAGCGCTGTGCAGTGACGCCTGAGCTATGCAGTGACGCCCGAGTCGGTGCGGATCCCTGTCACCACCGGGCTGGTGGGAGGGTGGATTACGTGTCCAGGCTTCCAGCATGTGGCTTTGTGAAGGTTTTCATTACGACAGACAAAGGAAGCGGAGTGCACTGCGACCTTGGTTTACTCGGTCCAACTCGGTGGCGTGAATTCTGAGTGGCAGTAAAGGGCTCCCCCACCCTAGCCAGGGCTGACCGAGCCATATATATAGTGCACCCCCCTACCCCCAAGCAGCAGATTCTTCCCAGAATTGGGGAGAGGGCACGTGGCCGCGATGGGCAGCCCAGAACCACATCGCCTCAGGCTGCACTGCACAGAACTGTCTCGGCCCAGTGCTCACGGACTCCATCCAGGTCCTGTGTTTAATAAGAACGCCTAGAAAAAGAAGCTGAAGAGATTCTGGGCAGGATATGCCGGCCTCCTTCAGGATGGGGATCCAGGTGCACACAGCGAGGGGTGTGTCCCGCTGGAGAAGACAACGCTGGGGAGGAACGTCCGGGTCCCAGGAAGCAGTGGTGGGCTTCTGCCACTGCAGAGCAGGGGTGGTCGGGGACAGGTGGCAGGTGGCACAGCTCGTGGATACGGAGGGACTCCCCATCTCTGCCGCATGGCACAGGCCGGTCAGTCTCACAGCAGCAAGGATCCTTGTTGCTGAAAGTGCTCGACCCAAGGCCGCTTCTTAGAAAACAGGGAAGGAAGGAATTCCTGCATCAGCTGAGAGGCCCACTGTCCTTTCAGCCAAGTATGAAGGGGACAGGCAATGCCAGTGAGTCCCCGTTCAGAGAGAGAGAACACCAAATAGCAGCTCTTGTATGTGTTTTTCTTTTACGTTTGAAAAGAAAACTTGCAGCTCTCGGAATATGATGCCATATTTGCATGTGATTATATTTTAACTCCCATTGCACTAAAACTTGTGTTCCCTTAATTTGCCATTTTTCCAAATATTTTGGTTGGTAACCATAAATGTTGTGTTGTGTTTTTGATTTTTCATTTTTTAAAATTGACTTCAGAGAGGAAGGTAGAGGGAGAGATAGAAACATCAATGATGAGAGAGAACCATTGATTGGCTGCCTTTTGCATGCCAATCACTGGGCATCGAGCCCATAACCCAGGCATGTGCCCTGACCAGGAATCGAACTGTGACCTCCTGGTTCATAGGTTGATGCCCAACCACTGAGCCACACCAGCTGAACTAAATGTTGTATTTTAAATTTACTGCATTTAAGGAAATGTAGTAAATATTCTATAGACATATTTATCGTCTGTGTCTATAGGAAATGCAGAAACAAATGAACATGAAATCAATGTTTCCCCAATAACCATCCAAAAAAAGAAGAAAGGAATTGCTTTATAACAATGGCCTTGTTGTCGATGTATCTGAGTCACACTTAGCCGTGATGAAGCGTACCTGTTACTGTCTCTGGAAATGTAAAAGCTGTGAAAGGAAAACCACAGATGATAGATGTACATATTAGAGAAATAGAAGATCCCCGTGTCTATGGTGATGTTTCCTCCCTTTTCCTAGCGCTTCGTTCGATTCCACCGTCCGGCTGTGGGACGTGGAGCGTGGCGTGTGCATCCACACGCTCACCAAACACCAGGAGCCTGTCTACAGTGTCGCTTTCAGCCCCGACGGCAAGTACCTGGCCAGCGGCTCCTTTGACAAGTGTGTGCACATCTGGAACACTCAGGTAATCCCCGATTCCTTTCACCCAAGTCAAATTTCAGTGACCCAGGCTCAAAATGGTCGCTGGGGAGTTTGTGCTGAGTCGCTTCTAAGTCCCTGGCATGAAACCCTCTGCCTGCCTCATCCTTTTCTGGGGTACCAGCCGTCATCTCAAACAACCGTAACCCAGTCCTCTTGTCTCCAGAGATGCTGCCCTCGAGGTACTAAGATTGAGGCGACAGGTGTCATTCCATTTGCACTTTCCGGGGGCCCAGCTAAAGGGGCGGGGCCAGCCACTCCCCATCGTGTAGCATATGGGAGGGTACAAAGGCATATCTGTTTGCTTTGTTGTGCCATTTTGATTTTTCTAATGAAAATAGTTTATGTTTCTGTGGGAAAGGGTATGTTGGTATTGGGTTGTGCTATTGGCAGAACTAAAAGGAGACAGCATTTGAGTAAATGTAGCCATGGGTATCGCTGGCTGCACCTGAGGACAACAGATTCTGAATATAAAGAGTGGAAGTGGGTGGGAGTTAGAGCAGGGAGTGTTATGTTGGGGAGTCACCTCTCGGTTCTCTAGCTGATGGAAGAGAAATGGTCGGAGCCATTGCAAACAGCCAGTGATCCAATTTGTGTGACTTTAGGGTGGATTAAATGGCCTCCCCTCTCCCCTTCTAACCCAGTCTGCCTTCCAGCTTCCCTGTGGCTGGGTTGAAATTGAGGTGCATTTTAATTGAGTCCATGCCCCCTTGTGGGAAGGGTTGGTAGTACATGAAGCAGGTGAACTGGCACGGGGTCCATGGAGGTCCACTGAGACCTCAGGCTTCCAGAATCTGCCTCCGATGGGCTGCATCCTCTTAGAGAGGGAGAGATGAGGGTGGGCCCCAGGCGGAACCAGCCTGCTGCCAGGCCTCACAGCCCAGATAGGCCAGGTGGAAAACGTGCATCCAGCAATACTGTGCGAGAGTCCCTCTTCATAGAAGCAGTGATGGGTGGATTTGTAAAATGACATCATAGAAAAATGGCATTAGGTATTGCCAAAAACTCATCAAATTATGTCACTCCTGTTTTATAAATCACAAACCTCTTTGATCCTCAGTGAGAGGATGCCTGGTTTTGAAAGTAGAAGTGGGAGAAGGGCCCTCACTCTCCCGGGGGCAGAGCAGGAGAGCAGCAGGGGCAGAGCAGGGACGAGAAGGCGGCCTGGCGGGCAGGGCGCCCTGGGCAGGTTCTAAATATAAGTATGTATATAATACTAGAGGCCCGGCGCCGGCGCACGGGGTCCCTCAGCCTGGCCTGCGGGGATCAGGCCAAAACCTGCAGTCCAACATCCCCCAAGGGGTCCTGGAGTGGGAGAGGGCACTCGCTGGGCCGCTCCTGTGTTGAGCGTCTGCCCCCTGGTGGTCAGTGTGTGTCATAGCTATGGGCGGTGGCTGTAGATAGATTGTGGGCTTGCTCCCCCCCAGGTCCCACCCCCTTAGCTCCTGACCGCTGCTTTGCTTTGCAGAGTGGGAGGCTCGTCCACAGCTACCGAGGCACTGGCAGCATCTTCGAGGTCTGCTGGAACGCCCAAGGGGACAAAGTGGGCGCCAGCGCGTCCGATGGCTCTGTAAGCAGCACCAGGGTTTGCTGGGGGGAGGAGGGTGTGGGGCCGAAAGGGGAAACCCCAGGCAGCTGATACTCAGGGCAGAGGCTGAGAACCTTGCTCCTGCCTCAGCCCCACATTTGTGCCCCTAGCCTGACCCTCTGCTGATAAAGGTATGACCTGCATTCCATAGGTCTCCTGGGTCCCGGGGCCCTGTGACTCTGTGGGGCGGGGGTGGTGGGAGGGCTGGCCGAGTGTCCTGTAGCCCCCACATGTTCCCAGAGGCCATGAGCACAGGCTTGAGTTGTCATGGGCCCTGCCTCTAGGCATCTGGGCTGTGACACCTGCCCGTGGCCACTGCCTCTGCGTTACTTCCCGGTTGGTCAGAGGCTCGGCCCCTCAGGTGTAGCATAGCTTCTCTGAATGTTCCGGACTGTGTGCCAATAAAACTTTATTTATAAAGCATAGTGGGTGGGCCTGATTTGGTTCATGGGCCGTGTAATTTGCCAACCTGGGTTCTGTGTGTTTGAAGGTAACGGGCTCTCTGTTTCCTTGCAGGTGTGTGTGTTAGATCTGCGAAAGTAAACGGAGTGTTGCAGGAAAGAGAAGAGAATTCTAACCCACCAGCAGTTCGCGTGGGGTGGGTGGGGGTGGGGGGGCATCCTGTGGGCTCCAAACTGCACGGGCGTGGCGTGTGGGCGTGGACTTTGAAGTCAGCTCCTCCTGGGCCCTGGGCGCCTTTATCTTTCCTAGTTCTTGTCAAAAAGTTTCAAACACACACAATTGTATCAGAGGTGGGAGAGTGGTTTCCACAGGGACATCTGTTGGGAAAGCGTGACGCCTCCAGCGGGATGGTCCCAGTTTGGTTCCCACCCAGACAGGCTCTGAGGGCTGAGACTGGAGGGGAAAAAAGCTGTGGCAAAAGAGAAGAGAAGCGAAAAAGGCTGCAATAACCGAAAGGGGGTGGGAGAGCTCTGCCCGCGTGCTGCCTGTTGCCCTAACAATTCGGACACTCCCGTCGCCCTCGCCAAGAATGTTCAAAGCCCAGCCTGTGCCGCTGAAATGCGGGGCTTGTGATCCCGGCGCCCCCGTTTCACACAACCTTCTTTGTCAGGTGGCTTTTCTGTCGGTTGGAATCCTGTCGACTGGGCCTTCCGTCCATGATGGGGCCTGTTCCCCTTCCTCATTGCCTGTCCCACCACCTTCTTTCTCCATTCAGCGTGTCTTGATTTGCTGTTGATGCGGCCTTGGGGACACGACAAAATCTTTGCAGGACAGCTTTCTTGCCCCTCCCCTCTCCCCCTCTCCCTCCCCTGCTCCCCTTTATCATAGTTGTTTCAGATCCTAGGTCTTGAGGGCACTTTTGGCGCAAAATAAGTGCTTTATGTAGGAAGGCAGGGCAGGGTGACTTTTTACAGGAGGAAAGAAAAATGACTTAAGGAGAGCCCAGAGTATTTTTGGGGGGGAAATATTTTTATGTTAAAGCAATTTTAAAATCCTAAAATAGCCATCAGACAGAGATAGCTTTGTGTGGTTTCATATTTTAAAATATTCTAGGGAGCTGTTCCCGTTGCAGGGCAGGGGGGGCGGGAGGGGGAGTGGAGGCGCAGACCCGGGACTAGCGGGATTTCCTCGGCGGAGGGAGAAGTCCCGCTCTTGGCTGGGGAACAACGTGGGATCTCCCCAGGAGTCCCCTCTGTAGCCCTGGGAGGGAACTGAAGAAGGGTGCACTGTGACCCCAGGAGCCCGTCCCAAACCAGCCGGTACTGAGGAAGCCATAGAAGCAGACTGCTTTGCCGTGTGGCCTGTTGGTGGCACCTCCTTCACGGTCGGCCACTGCCCCAGTGCTGCTGGGCAGGCTTGGCACGGCTGACCCCTGGCGGGCAGGGACAGAAGTGAACGGGCAGGGAGGCCCCTGCACCCGCAAGGTGGACTAAGGGTAGAGTGTCACCCATCACCTCCGCTGTCTCCATCTCTTCTTTCTGCGCCAAGAGACTAGGTTTTCTTTTTTTAATAATGAACCTTTTTTACTATTTTTAAATTAAACGAGTTTGCGTTTCCACGGGAATCTCCTTTCATTGGATGAGGTGGCCTTTGCACTGTCAGCGCGATGCTGACCTGGTTTTGAAAGTAGCAGTGGGAGAAGGGCCCTCACTCTCCCGGGGCCAGAGCAGGAGAGCAGCAGGGGCAGAGCAGGGACAGGAAGGCGGCCTGGCGGGCAGGGCGTCCTGGGCAGGTTCAGCCACTGTGTCCCAGCTAGGAGATGAGACAGGATGCTGCTATTCAGGGGCGGTGCCGGGCAGGTGAGTGCATCTGAGAGGCCTGGACTGTGCTGGATCTGCGACAACATCGCCAGGCCCCGTGGATCCGTGACTTCCTTGAGTCTGAGCCAGAGAAGGCCCCAAAGTGCTTTTCCGAGTTGGGTGTTTAATTTGGGCTGTTGCCAAGCGCGAAGTCTAGGAAGTCACCACACTCATCTTTGAGGGCAGCCGACACCCGGACCACGTTGAGCATTTCCGCCCTGAGAAATCATTAGGTTTGGGGCACAGGGTGCGGAGGTTCGGACACCGCCTGACCGCTCCCCCGACAGGAACCTGCGCTTCTCTGCAGAGCATCGCCGCCCAGGGCCGCCGGGAACCCTTGTCCCTGGAAAGTGGGGCCGTGTCCCGGCACTGTTTGCCTCCTTACAGCGCTTAATGTAACGCCTACGTGTTAGTGACCAGACGTGGCCTTGGTCTGAGCAGGCTGGCCCGGCCCGGGAGGCGAGGGCCGCGCACCGCATGCCGGGGACTGGGGTTTCCTTCTGTCCGGTGCGGTGCGCTTTGTCCCACGGAAGGCCTACTTCGCTCTGCTTATTTTCCTCTTGAAACCTGTTCCTTTTTTTCCAAGTCGTGTCGCTTGTCAAACGCAGACGCGTTCCTCCGCCCCTCCCCTGGGTTTTGGACTCTGGCTTCTGGGTGTGTTTGTCCATCAGATGTGCCAGCCGTGCGCGTGGTTCCCGCCAGCGCCTCCCGATCTGTCCGCCCACCCGCACCCCACGCTCTGGCCAAGAACCACCTGGCACTTCGCAGCCCATTTGCTAGGATAGGATCAACGGGTCCTATTCGGGCTCTTGAATAAATGGCTCTATTTTGATGCGAGAGAACGTGGTGGGTGTGCTTTCTTCGTCCCGCTCGCCCACTGGGGCCCGCGACACCCCGATGCGTAGACACGCGCGTTCTCCCCACAGGAGGGAGCCTCCCCCGGGCCCGCTGCTGGCCAATCCCGGGCCGTCGGGGGCTATGAGGCTGCTGTTCTCAGGGGCGTGTTCGAAAATGCAGGCTCTCCCATCAGGAGTGAGTGATGTCCTGCTGTCCCGGGGGCTGTGGGAGCGTGGGTTCCGGGATGAACGGGGGTCGTTTGCAGAAATCGGGGCGCTGGCCCTGAGTGTGCACCGCTACCCACGCCCGCTGAGCAGCTCCACTGCCGTGTGCCCCGTGGGCCGGGTGTTGCCATCCATGCGCTTTAGTCCCCGGCAGGCGTGGCGTGACTTTGCTAGTTAACGAATGCCCCTGCCTGTGTCAGGGAGGCGGTTGTATCCGGGACACTGAGGCACAAAGCGGTCACGGTGACATTTTCCTCCTCGTGCAACTCGGCCCTGCGTGGGGGCAAAGCTGAGGCTGGGCCCTCCCTGCCTCTGTGGTCCCGGGTTGTCGGGTGCAGCCCGCTTCCTTCCTTCTCTTTAGCCCCGGCCCCCACGGGGTGGGTTTGGGGAGCGGTTCCCAGCAGCCCAGCCCTCCTGCAAAAGCACAGCAGACCCAGCAGGACGCTGTAGTGAATACGGGCGGGGAGCAGAGCTCAGTTCAGCGCCTGGGGTGGAGGTGAGGGAGGGGGGCTGTGTGGTGGGACTCAGGGCTTCAGCGATGATGCTGTAACGGAACGGCTTCCCTGGGAAGTGGATGGGGACACAGACCCCCTCAGGTAACGGGACCCTTCTCTGCAGTGACTTCAACACGTTCCCTTTACCCACTGAGCTCGGCTTCATGGACGTGTTGGTGGAACGTGTCCACTCACTGAACGGAGAGTTTTTGGTTCACTGCCCACATCGCTGCGCTGTCCGTGAAGGAGATGGGGATGTCCTTCGTGTTCACGCCTGCGGGGCTGGCTGTTGGTTACTGTGCAGGGAACCTGGGCATCACTTTGTGAGCTGCCTGGGAGGGGAGCAAGGGGGGAGCAGGGCCGTGCCTCTGCAAAAAGCTCGGAATGTGGTCAGATGGTCTCCCCCAGTCTGGCTCCTTTTTCTCTGAAGCATCTCATCCTCTTGGAGAGTAAGCAAGGCAGGAGGGCGGGCTCCACCTGCAGGGGGGCTGGGGAGCTCCGGGGCAGGACTGCCCAGAAACCTGAAGTTCCTGTTCTGGAAAATGGGGGCACTGAGTAGCAATCATTGTCCTCACTCAAAAGCCACTTACAGGTCTGGCCCGTGTGGCTCGGTGGTTAGAGCATCAGCCCCCGCAACAAAGGGTCTCCGGTTTGATTCCCAGTTAAGGGCACATACCAGGGTTGCAGGTTCACTCCCCGGCTATCAGGGCACATGTGGGAGGCAATCAATTGATGTGTCTCTGTCACATCAATGTCTCTCTCTCTGCCCCCGCCCCTTCAAATCTAAAAATTAATGGAAAAATATCCTCTGATGTGAATTAACAACAACGAAAAATATACTTATGGAGGAAATGACTGCAGTAATGCTCTATCATCGCTATGAAATAAAATTAGCTTGAGCAGACTCATTCACAAGCCTTTTGTGTGGTGACAAACTGACCAGTAAGTTAAAATGAACCGGAGCATCCTTCTACCCAAACGACACCCCAGCTACACCTTTGTCAACCCAAACTCCTGTGTGGGCCCGGGTTCCAGAAGCTCTTCAAGAGCTCCCTCCGCAGCTCCCCCTCCTCCTCTCGTAGCTTTCATTGCCCTAAGCATCCCAGTGGTTTCTAGTACCTGCCATCTGAGCCACAACAAAACGTCCCCTGCAGACATAGCATCACTGGGAAATTGCTGGAAACCAAGCACTCCCCTTTATTCGTTTGTTTGCTCCATGACTGTCTCTTACTCACCAACGTGACACACCACGCCCACAACGCTCCTGTGTGTCCCCAGTGCCTGGGCATGGCTCAGTGTCTGGAGTGGCCATGAGCAGTCACAGCCCCTCGCTCATGGGCACTAGCTTCTCACTTGCATCTAATTGGCTCTGCAGAGTCCTGTGCCTTCTTCCAACTGCAAGGAAGCTGGGAAGGCGAGCAGCTAGTGTCTTTGCCCCTAGAGTGGGAGTGGGGCTGTGCCCCTCAGGTAGGGGGTTTTCAAATAGAAGAGGCTGTTGATGCTGGGGGCAGACTGTCAATACAGAGATCAAGAATGCAGACACCCCCCCCCCCATTCCTGTCCCATTGGGATCAGCTCCACATGAAGGAATGTGCGAGCTGGGCAGCATGGTGACAGTGCCCTGGATCTGTCTGCGGCCACGCCACTCCAGAAGCACAAACCCAAAAGCTCCCTGCAGAGCCTCTCTACAGTGAAAGGGAGTCCTGGCTGTGTTTAAAGGTGTCACATGGCAGAGGTGCCTTCAATGTCCTCACAAAACACTCTTGTTTTGCTCCAGACACCTAGCTGGCTTACAACGCCAACGCATATTACAATATTTCTGCCAAATTATCTATGTATCATCTATATCTATCTATATAGACTCTCTATATATATTATACACATATATGTGTGTGTGTGTGTGTGTGTGTGTGTGTGTGTATAATTTTCCAACTGATGGAAAGATAAGAGACCTTGGCAATGGTGTGAGCATAAATAAGATTCTATGGATTCCTGAGACTGAATTGCTCAGTATAGCTTGGAGACCAAATGCTGAATTCCTCATCAAAGCTGCCTCTCTGACACACTCATGTGGTGCACAGAGAACATTCAGCCCCATGTGAGGACCAAAGGCTGAATTAATAAACAGAACTGCCTCTTCTGCGCCCTCTTGTGGTGCATGCAGAATATGCAGCCTCATGTGGAGACTAAAGACTGAATTCCTGATGGGAGCTGTCTCTCCGCACCCTCTTGTGGTGCACCAAGAACATGCAGCTGCATATAGGGACCAAAGGCTGGATTCTGATCAAACCTGTCTCTTTTGTGCCCTCTTGTGGTGCACGAAGAATATGCAGAGCATATTTGGGGACAAAGGCTCAATTTTGAACTATGTTTTTAAAGATTTACATTTTCTATTATAAAAAGGAGCCCTAGCTGGTGTTGCTAAGTTGTTAGAGTATCAGCCTCAGATGAATAGAGTGTTGGTTCCCCAGACTGAAGGGTCATAGGTTCAATTCCAGTCAAGGGCATATACTTTGGTTGCAGGCTCCATCCCTGTCCCCAGGTTGGGGCAAGTGCAGGAGGTAGCCAATCGATGTGTGTCTCTCACATTGATATTTGTCTTGCTTTCCCTCTCTCCCTCCCTTCCACTCTCTCTAAAAACCGATGGAGCCCAGTTAGCATGGCTCAGTGGTGATCGTCAACCTATGAACCAGCAGGTCATGGTTTGATTCCCGGTCAGGGAACATGGCCAGGTTGTGGGTTCAATCCCCAGTGTAGGGCATGCAGCAGGCAGCCAATCAATGATTCTCTCTCAGCATTGATGTTTCTATCTTTCCCTCTCCTTTCCTCTCTAAAATCAATAAAAACTTATTTTAAAAAATGAAAAAATTGTCCTTGGATGAGGATTACAAAAAAAAAAAAAAAAAAAGCACTCTGATGCCCTGATCGGTTTGGCTCAGTGGATGGAGCACCGGCCTGCGGACTCAAGGGTCCCAGGTTTGATTCCGGTCAAGGGCATGTTCCTTGGTTGCAGGCACATACCCAGTGGGTCGTGTGCAGGAGGCAGCTGATCGATGTTTCTCTCTCATCAATGTTTCTAACTCTCTATCCCTCTCCCTTCCTCTCTGTAAGAAGTCAATAAAATATATTTTTTAAAAAGGCACTCTGAGTATTTTAAAATGTTGAAAGATTTAAAATGTCACTGTATTAACAAGTTGGAAGATATTTAAAAATTTTCAAGAAAGAGGAGAACCAAGATGGCGGCATAGGTTAACGCCAGAGTTTGCTGCCTTGAACAACTACTTCAAAAGTGAAACTAAAAGACGGAACGGACATCACCCAGAACCACAGGAATGCTGGCTGAGTGGAAGTCCTACAACTAGGAGGAAAGAGAAACGCATACGGACACTCAGAGGAGGCGCAGTGCTGAAGTCAAATTCTGAGGTGCGGAGTGCGCGGAGCGGGCTGGCGGCAGAGGGCGCGGTTGGCGTTTTCAATCGGGAGGGAGTCGCAGACTCTGAGCTCCAGATCCGGGCGAGTCTTTAGGGACTCGGACTCAAACGGGAGAAGCGGGACTGTCTGGCTTCGGTCAGAGCGAGTGCAGCTTTCTCTCCGAGGTTTGCAGCGGGTGCTGGGACTCAGAGAGGCAGAGCCCTTGGGGACAGGACTGAGAGCCGCCATAACTGCTCTCTCCGTCCCACCCTGTTGATCCTGTGCGACCCGCCCCGCCCCGCCCAAGCCCTGCACAGAGGCATTTGCCGGATAGCCTCAGGCAAACGCCAGATTAGCACCTCCCTAGAGGACAGAAGTTCTCTCACTGCAGACACACCTGATTCTCATAGCCACTTGGCCTGGAGGTCAAACCCTCCCTGGTATTAGCTACAACAATCAAGGTTTAACTATAAGACTGCGCACAAAGACCACTAGGGGGTGCACCAAGGAAGCATAACAAAATGTGGAGACAAAGAAACAGGACAAAATTGTCAATGGAAGATATAGAGTTCAGAACCACACTTTTAAGGCCTCTCAAGAACTGTTTAGAAGCCGCCGATAAACTTAATGAGATCTACAAGAAAACTAATGAGACCCTCGATGTTATATTGGGGAACCAACTAGAAATGAAGCATACACGGACTGAAATAACGAATATTATACAGACTCCCGACAGCAGACCAGAGGAGCGCAAGAATCAAGTCAATGATTTGAAATGCGAGGAAGCAAAAAACACCCAACCGGAAAAGCAAAATGAAAAAAGAATCCAAAAATGTGAGGACAGTGTAAGGCGCCTCTGGGACAGCTTCAAGC